CTCAATAGCCGCTCATGACCATAAAGGGACCTGTTCCCCCAGAGTGTTCCCGCAAAGCTTATGCAATGAAAGCAGAGGGCTGGGGCTCTAAGGTGGTACCCCTGAGATTCTAGGGTTTAGGGTTTAGGGTCTGGGGTTTAGGTTGCTTGTCGTACCCCTCACACAAGTGAAAGCAGACATCCTGACAGTTCCACGCCAGCCCGAAAGCGTTGAACCCTATACATTGTACATGATGAACACAAGCTTAAGCCTTAACTATGAGTGTGACATAACCCTCCACACCCCACACCCTCGAGACTTCAAGGTGCATCAGAAAATCGTAACTAAGGATCACGAACAGCACGAGTAAAGACAGCCTTAGACTCTCAAAACACATCTCAAGTGAATATCGTGTTTCACACCGACTCGCAACCTGATAGACCTCGCCTGGCTTGCCCGAGTTGTCAGAGCGTAAACCCTAAACAAAAGCAACATATAACTGTTCCTTAGGGATCCGCAGTATACTCGCCGAATAAAATACCCCCCAAACCCTACTCTAATTATTTAAGGCCCCTACATAGAGCAAGGCTGAGGGTCAGATCTCCACTTCCGCCGCCTGGTGCGTCTTCTACGGCGCGGGCATCATCGGCACGCTCGTCCTGTATGGCATTCTACAGGAGCGGTAGGAGGGCTTAGGGTCCGTTAGGGTTGGGTTCAGGCAGCAGAAACGATCAAACACGTGTTCAGGTGGCAGTGATCCCTTTCCGCAGGCATTGCTACCAAAGCCTGTTTCAAGAAAGTGGCATGTTTTAGAACAGTATCCGAGAGCCCTTCAGGTTGGTTATCATGACCCTGATTCGACCTCACACCCCGTGCCCGGGTACTCTGTGTACATAAGCCGCATAAGCCTCTTCCTCCCTTCGAAAAGGGGAGGAGGTGCTGAGCCAAGCTTCCGTTTTGGGGCTCCTGATTGCGACATTCTGCGGCGCCACCACATCCTGGAAAGGCAAAGGTTAGGAAAGTATCTGGTGTTTTTTCATCATAGAGCTTACGTAGGTTTGGGCCTCAAAGTTTTATGTAAGTTAGGGTGCCTTGGAAGTTAGGGTGCCTTTAGTGAGTGAGTGAGTGGGCGAGTGGGCGTGTGGCCTGGGGTGTACTCCGGCCGAATAGAAACGTTCCCTCCCGCTATCTCTTCCCGCCTCCGTTTCCGTCATCGAGGAGATCCGGCAAGAGTTCGACGCTCCGAGCCCCTCAATCCAAGCAGAGAGAAGTGCCACCCGAACCTCCATGGGCC